CACCGTCCTGGTAAAAGGGGGTTCTGCCGGCCAGGGAGGGGGTCTGCAACACCCCCAGACCCTTCCTCCGGATCCCCCTTACCTTCAGCTACCCCTGCAGGGCAGCCTTGCTCCGCACCCGTCCGGATCGGAGCCCCAAAACGGCTAGCGCGGCAGGGATCGCGCAGCTTCGCGAATCCCTACCGCTCGCGAAGCCGACAAACCGGAAACTCCCTCTTTGGACTGTTAAATGTATATGACCTGGACCATTTATTGGACTGTGCTATTTCTTAAAGTAAACATTAACTCAATTTAGTGTATCTCTGTGTGGCTGGATAATTATTCATAACTATTCTCATAAACGTTTCCATGTGCATATCCTTATTACTCAAGGGTTATTCTGTACATATCATAACAGACTGGATGCGTTATGTGCTGGCCCCGCCCCTGCCTGGTTTAGCGAAGGGGGAAAAGGCCCCAATACATCATGTGACGCCACTGTGATGATTCAAATTTTACACCCCTGTACTAGAAGCTGTAATAAGAGACCTAAAAATACAAATTGTACAATATTTCTGCCTCAGAAATCTACCATTTTCCAGACTTAATATATGAATATATGTGACTTTATCTTGACATAATTATCTGGAGAAAAAAATCCTTAAAAAAGGAATCACCTTTTTAAAAATAGTGTACTAAAATGTAGTCAAATGATCTAGTTGTAACTAGACTATCCTGCAACCAAAGTACATCTGGCATTTAAAATTCCGTATCAGCTTTTTAACACAGATACTTCTTTTGTGCAGACTATCTTGAAAAGATTATGTTCTTTGAAAGCAAAATCAAATTTTGCCTTCAAAATTTTAAAAATTAAGATTCCAATGAACCTGGCTTTTGATTCAAGCTATTTATAGAGCTGTCAAAAACAATATGTAAAGCCTGCTTCTCGCTGTCAAAATGTTTAATATTTTATTTGTTTAATTATGCCAAATTGTTTGAGGCACTTTATAGTTTAAGTAACAAAATCATGATAATAATTAGTGTTTCCCAAAGAACGGAAGCTTTTCTTCTTTATTTAATTCATTTCTTTTACAGGGCTTACAGGCTGCTTCAGTTGTAAACAGCTCTCTGTGTGGTTACATCCCAATCTCTGCAAATTGGGTTGAAACAATATAATAAAAAGAAAACAAATCAATACTATGATGCAACCCACAACTAGCACTGGAAACAATAATTAATGCAAAGTAAAAGAACAAAAATAAATCAAAAAACCTTCTACTATCAGAGAGAACATGGTTATAGCACAACAATTCCCAGGCCTGTTGGATGAACTCTGTTTTAATGGCCTTACTAAACATCAGGAGGGAAAGGCACATCTGGATGGCACCAGCACCATTGCTTGGCTTGTCCTATAAGATTTTTGCCTCAGGGCTCACAGTTTTTAAGTAACCCCCCAAGAAGAACCTATAACATCTCCATAGTACCGCTTGGACACTGATAACATCTTCAGAAGCTAACAACTTATTCGGATCTGTCAAAGAATTACATCTATTGGAGTTAGCCCCATCGTTACAGGTAGTCCTCAAGTTACAACAGTTTATTTAGTGACCATTCAAAGCTGCAATGGAAAAAAAAGGACTTATGACCACTTTTCACAGTTACGACCTTTGAAACATCTCTGTGGTCATGTGATCAAAATTCATATGCTTTGCAACTGGTTCATATTTATGACTGTGTTGCTGTGTCCAATGGTGGGATTCAAATTTTTTTTGCCACCAGTTCAGTGGGCGTGGCTTGGTGGGCGCGCTTTGTGTGCGTACACACACTTTGTATGCACGCGTGCGCCAAACACGCACTTTGCACAGGCGCAGAGGCATTTATGCAGGCGCAGAGGCGTTGTAACTCATCTCCTGCAAGCCTGCATGATCCCAATCGCTTCAGCAGCTGCCTCACGGCACTCTTCTGTGCCGCGCAAAGCAGCTGTGCTTCAAATTCAGCGGATAAAGGAGAGTATGGGAGCCCAGGTGGGCGGGTGGCCCCAACAGCAAAGTGACGGAGAGAACCGGTTTGGTCTCCACTGCTCATTGCTGCTACCGGCTTGCCAGAACTGGGCCAAACCGGTAGAATACCACCACTGGCTGTGTCCCAAGGTCATACGATTACCTTATGTGACCTTCTGACAAGCAAAGTCAATGGGGAAGCGACATTCACTTAACTTATCAACTGCAGTGATTCACTTAACAATTGTTGAAGGTAGTAAAATGGGGCAAAACTCACTTTACAAATGTCTCACTTAACAACAGAAATTTGGGGCTGAATTGTGGTTGTAAGTCGAGGATTACTTGTAGGTAAAATGCTGCTGGAGCAATGGCAGTTTTCTTCTATAATGGTACTTTTATACATTTAAAAAAAAAACAAGGTTTAATTTTGTTCTGAATGAATTACTGAAGTACTAACAAGTACTTGTTATTGACACGGTCTCAGTAGAACGACAGATATCACCCGGGTCATATAATGACAAACAGAATAAATAATATTCTGTATTATTGGCCATTGGTGAAATGCCACTGAAGATTCTCTTTGTATTTCAGGATGTTGCTATGGATGATGCGATGTTGCAGAAAAAAGAAGAAAAAGATGTTGAACTGGATAAAAAAATTCTAGCTCTGAGGAAGAAGAATGAAGCTCTCATGAGAAGATATCAAGTATGTATGAACTCCAGCTTCTCCTTTCTAATGGTGTTACTTAATATAGCACTAAGCACTTAGACTTATAAACTGCTTCATAGTGCTTTTACAGCCCTCTCTAAGTGGTTTACAGAGTCAGCAACTTGCCCCCAACAATCTGGGTCCTCATTTTACTGACCTTGGAAGGATGGAAGGCTGAGTCAACCTTGAGCCTGTGAGGATCGAAACTCCTAGCAGTTGGTAGAATTAACCTGCTATACTGCAGTCTAACCCCTGCACTCTTAATACGGTTTCTAATCTTTTCGTTAAACCTTTGAATCAATTTATAACAGGGTGATTTGAAAACTGTATCTGTTTAATTACCGCGAACATTTTACAGCTCAGTTGGTGGCAGCATAGTTACTATTGGGATTGGAATTTCAAATTAACTTTTTAAAAATAGTTCTTTACAATAGAAGTGAAAAAATATTAAAAATATATAAGAATCACATTTTTATGAACCAAAACAAACTGATTCACAGGTTTCACTGCTACTGCCTTATCCCTCTTAACATCAACTCTTAATTGTTGTAAAGTTATCTTCAGGAAAAATTTGGGAACAAATTCTGGAACAGCTCATCTGCAAGAGAATGGCTGGGATCCAGATTCACAGATTATACTAAACCACAATGTGGTTTTGGGTTTCACATTTTGTATGAACTGATTCAAGTGCACTTTGTTCAACAAAATGGTAAAACATGGTAGTATTTGCTTAACACCCTTACCTACTTTTACTCAATATATTTTATGCCAGTCTTGATTCCAGGGGACTACCTGGACAAGGCTGCCTGCAGTTATCTTGGCAACATTTTCAGAAGTGGTTTGCCATTGTTTCTTTCTTAAGGCTGTGAGTCACTCAACTGTGCTTAATGTGGGACTAGGATTCAAACCAGTGGTGGTATTCAGCCGGTTCACACCGGTTCAGGTGAACTGGTAGCAAGGATTTGGCATCGGTCACCAAACCAGTAGTAAGTTCAGGCTGGCCATGCCCCCAACCCAGTCACCCGGTCACCGCTGGCTCGCTTGCCCCACCTGCCCAATGCTCACTCACCCCGCCTGCCTGATGCTTGTCCCTTAAGCAATTTCTTTTTTTCCCCTCCCAACAATCAGCTGTTCATACAATCAGCTTTGCTGGGATTCCCCTTGCTGAGGCCAAGGAAGGCAAAAAATGGAGGGAGGGGCACAGCTCCCCTCCTTTTTTTGCCTTCCTGAGTCCCAAGGGTGCTTTCTGGGAGCAAAAATGCCCCCCCCCAGAGGCTCCTCTGAAGCCAGGAAGGCCCCCCCTCAAAATGAGCAGGGGGTGGCTGCAAAAAAAAAAAAGTCATGCCCACCCAGTCACATGGTCACTCCCACCTAGCCATGCCCACCAAGCCACGCCCACAGAATCGGTAGTAAAAAATTTTTAATCCCACCACTGATTCAAAGTCTGTCAGTTTCTAACCTGGTGCCTTTATTAACTGGTACCCCCAACTGGTTCTCACTTATAATGTAACTATTAGCTTTTTAGCTAGACTAAATTTTGCATGGCACCCTAACTTATAAATCCAACCACTTCTACTGGATTCACACAGGGATGGGCTTTAAAAATTTTAGCAATGGGTTCTCTGCCTGGTTACTGGGTGGGTGTGTCCATGGTGGGCATGGCCTGGTCAGCCTCCTGCACCATGGCGTTTTTGCCCTCCCCAGACTCTGGACGCTCTCTGGAATCTGGAATCAAGCCTTTCCAAACTTCCGGGAGGCCCGTTTTTCATCCTCCCTGAGCCTCTGTGCCCACCCTGAATTTACTTGCATCCAAAATGGCTGCGTGGGGACTCCCGGGAAGGGACGGGAGGGGTAAGTGTGGCCAGCCAGGAGTGGGATTTGGGGGTTCTCCAAACTGTGCAGAATCTTATCTAGAGGATCTCCTGAACTCCTGCAAACCCCCAGCGGCCCACCCCTGATTCACACCTTATGGTATAGAATAGAATAGAATAGAATAGAATAGAATAGAATAGAATAGAAT